AGTAATAAAGTTTACAAGTTACAATACCGTTAGCATTAATATTACCCAAGGTGTACCACGTGAAGGTTGCCCGGTCGAATTTACACCTCTTTTGCATGTATGTGTGTTGTGTGCGCGCATACGTGTGTCACATCAGAGATAAGAACCTCACAGTTCGTCACTTCCGTAGTATTTAAATATTTCCGTAGTATTTCCGTAGTATTTTAGACTTCAATTCCTCTCTGCTATGTGTGTGTGCGTGTGCGCGAGTTTTGAATTATTAAAGAGAAGAGGTGATGGTACTTAGTCCTTATCTGTTTAACTTATTACTACAAATACGTATATGACTACCCAGATATCCACCTACGCACACACACATAGCAGAAAGGGATTGGAGTCATTAAATACTGCGGAAATTACCAACTGTAGGGTCCTTATCTCTGATGTAACACACACGTACGCGCGCACATAACACACACACACACACACACAAAAGAGGTGTAAATCAGACCAGGCAATCTGCGCATAGTACACTTTGGGTAATGCCGGCGATATTGTAACTTTCAAACTTCATTATTTAAAAAATATGTAATGAAAAAATATTTTATTATAGTGTTTTGGAATCCTCTTGAGGTAAGCATATAAGAATATGCAATAAAAGATAGAGATTTCCCATTTAAAAAATGAAGATGATCTTCATTTAATCTTGGCAATGCAATTCAAGGTCATACTGATAGTGCTATGTAATGCATTACTTAAAGCCCTATAACTTTTGTACGAAACATTTTTTTTTCAAAAATGCATATTTTTCAAAATATTAAGGGGTTTTCATATTTTTGGAAGACTCTGTATGTAATTTAATATATTCTCTTTTTTTCTCTTTTTACACACACTTTATTTCTTTACTTATTATTTTAATTTACATGTACAAGGTATATGACATATACCTGTATATTCTCTCGTGTGTAGCATTTATCAAACTAAACGAAAAAAGTCTCTTATCATTTTACAAATAATCACAATAATTATGGAAATATAAATCAAAAGAAATTGGCATATGAGTGCACTGGATGCATTAATACAAGCTGTGTAGCACAGTCTAAAGAGATATATCGAGCTTGTTTCCTGATTTTCTAACAAAAATAAATATTTATGTGCGATCCAAGATTACACTGAACTATTCATTGCTTGCAATGTTATCCTACCTCTTGTTGCATGCTAATATTTATTCTTGCTAAAAAATAGTCAACATATTGAAAATATGTTTCTTTAGATTGTCCTAGAGCTTTTTATTCTTACAGTGCATTGCATCATATATATTAATTTGTCTACCTTTTTTAATTAATATCTCAATAATTATCGTAGTTATTTATAAAATACTAAACGACTTCTTCGTTTAATTTGATAAATTTTACTTGCTCACGAGTGCATGTACGTGTTGTGTCAGATTATATAATTAATGAAAGTTAACACAATATGAATTAATGAAAAGAAAATCTTGATTCACTAATTATTCACTAATAGTATAGTTTATTTTGTATTATATTTTTGTTTTACTTCATGATTTTATTTTATTATGTTTGGCTTGTAGAAGGCTGAAGTAGATAGAGATTTGAGTGAAGTCGAAGAGAAGATTTTGGAGGAACTGAAGAAGGTACATAAAAAATGATGTCAGAATATCGTTTAACGTGATATAATTTATTAACGTTATAATTTTTTTAAATTTATATTAAATTTATATTAAATTTATATTATATTTATATTAAATTTATATTAAATTTATATTCTCAAAATGTTATTTTTCATGAGTACATATCTTAGGTAGATCTTTTTTTTCACGCATAATTTTTTTGCAACATTATATGTTACACAAAATGTTGCAAAAAAATTATGTAAAAAAGATTTACCCAAGATACATACTCATACTGTGAAATATGATGTGCGTGCGTGCGTGCGTGCGTGCGTGCGTGCGTGCGTGCGTGCGTGTACACACACACACACACACACACAGGGTGTCTCACTTTGATAATATACTAATATTTCCATAAAAATACGTATACATATATGTGTACATTTATGTATACAGGATGTCTCACACTCTCCTCCGGACATTTTGTGGGGACATAGAATGGGTTGATGTAAACATAAAATTCTTATATCGTTTTGCGAAATTCGCAATAATAGTAGAGATATTAAAAAAGATTAAGAAAAAACGCACGCTGAATGGTAGAGGACGGACCGCTCGAATCACAGCGCGGTCCAATAATAAAGCGCGCGGATGTCGCGCGCGGTTATTGGAAGACAATGCATCTCTGTCTATTCTTATCTCGGCGCGGTGCGGCAAGACATAGGAGTGCAGCGGTATAAGTATAGGCAGTGGTGCATTGTCCAATCACCGCGCGCTATATTACTGGGCCGCGCTGTGACTCGAGCGGTCCTCGGACAACATCCTCTACCATTCAGCGTGCGTTTTTCCTTAATCTTTTTTAATTAATATCTTGACTATTATTGCGAATTTCGCAAAACGGTATAGGACTTTTATGTTCACATCAACCCATTCTACGTCCCCACAAAATGCCCGAAGGAGAGTGTGAGACATCCTGTATACATAAATGTACACATATATGTATACGTATTTTTATGGAAATATTAGTATATTATCAAAGTAAATAAGACTAAAATAATCTCTAGTATATGTATAAAATGTGATATGACATACATACAAATAACACTAGTGCATTATTAGTGCTTCGCTGGCATGCATGTACTGTTGCACTTGTGACATAATAAAAAATAACTTGTTATAAAAAGAATAATTATAGTATAATCTAAAAATGGCATTATAAACATACTTTTGTGTTTATCTTGTATTACTATCTTGATTGTAAAAATATAGATGTAAACGTACTAAATAAAAATACGCAACCGTACTTTTCTCATTATAAATTTGTAACGAGGAAAACAATTAGAATTTTTACTAGAATTTAATTTTACATAAATCTAATTTATATGTCTAAGGTTGACAAGCTCCGTCAGCAAGCTGAGGAGCAAGAGTCAGTACTGCGGTCTCAAGAGGAAGAGCTGAACCTCAAGAGACAGGAACTCGAGGGTTTACGACAGGAAGAGCAACAATTAGAGCAACAACAGAATAAGAACAGGGACCAATTAAACGAGCTCACAAAAAAGCTGCAGGATACTCAACTGGAAATCTGTCAAGCAAAGGCGAAGATCACTCATTTACAGGAACAGCAACGTCAAATGAGCGACGCTATTGCGCTTTATGATTCTGCGCTTGCCGCTGGCGACGTCGCTCTTGTACCTGATACTAATTTACGGTTTATACCTGAGATTGAAGATATAGAGTGTGTATCAAATTTTGCTCAATTGACTCTCTCTTTCGCTTCTTCCAATTCCTCCCTCTTTCGCCTACCCCTTTTTCGTTCTTTTTGTCTTTTAATTGTAATAATGCTTTTTATATATGTTAAAAATAAATTAGGTACCAAGCGACAACAAAGAACGCAGACGAAGTAAAGGAAGCGAAAACGGACGCTTTTTCTGATATAACTGTTCCTAACGTTTTGGATGGATTTGGAGAACAGGATCCTTTCGCAACGAGTGAAGCCAAAGAAGCATTTAATGCACCAGTATCCGATCCATTCGGAAATGCGTTTTCCGCACAGCCATCTAACGTAAGTTTTCCTTAATATGCAAGTAATATCCATTTCCGCATCTCACATGCTCCTATTTATTCGAGAGCCGTTATTAATAGTAAAATAAAAAATGACATTGTAGGAAGGTTTCGGATCCGATCCTTTCACCGCATTGGATAATAGCGATACAGCGGCAAAGCAGGATCCTTTTGATCCGTTTGGCAATGGCAAACAAACCGATAAGATACCTGCAACTGCGACATCGGTACGTGAAAAAAGAATTTTTCCATTAATTATAAAGGATCCCATTAATCATATGAAAAAAGTGATTTCAATTGAATTGATTGAAACTATGATATTTTGTAGCTTATGAAGTCAAAATGTTGACCAAAAATCTTCAACAAAAAGTGTGAAAAAATGGACAGTTTTTTTTCTAGCACCATTAGAAAGTTGCTATTTTAGCTCTAACCAAACCTTTATCTACAGTACGCATATTGCTTTTTTAACTGTATAGGCATTTATATATAACTATATATGTGTGCATTATTGAATAGATTCATGTCTCAGTGTATATATGTGGTGCGGGAGGGGGGGCAATGTAATATAGGTGTGTATTGGTATATGTGTATTTGTATCGATAGTTATTCTATTAGTATGTCTGACATTATTACGTCTAAAAAATTTTGTTTGTATGTGTGTGTGTGTGTGTGTGTGTGTGTGTGCATATGCGTGTGTGTGTGTGTGATAAAAATGAAAAATAGTTTTTGTAATATCTGTAAGAAAAAGGAATGAATTGACAAGCATCTTGTGTGTACTTCTAAAGCAATAAGCTTCTATGAGTCCTCTCGCCTCTCATGTTACACACGCATACGATTTTTTGGACGTAGCAATGTCAGACATACTAATAGAATAATTATCGATACAAATACACATATCAATACACACCCATATTACACTCCCGCACATACATACACTGAGACATGAATCTATTCAATAATGAACACATGTATGGTTGTATATAAATGCCTATACTATAGTTAAAAAAGCAATATGTGTATTGTAGATAAAGGTTCGGTTAGACTAAAAAATAGCAACTTTCTAATGGTGCTAGAAAAAACTCAATTTTTTCACTTTTTATTGAAGATTTTTGGTCAGCACCTCGTAAGTTACAAAATATAGTTTCAGTTAATTCGACTGAAACCACTTTTTTCATATAATTAGTGCGGGGTCCTCTGCTATCTTATGATATATATCTTATAATTTAATAGAAATGTCAAAGAATCAACAAATAATATAATGATTTTTTCTCTTATTAAGAACACGAAGGATCCATTCGGGGATGATCCGTTCGCCAATCTTCACGCTCCTCCGCGTCCGGAAAGTCCTAGTCCTGCTCTTCCACCAAAGAAAGCGAAACAACCACCGCCACGACCAGCTCCGCCACGACCTAGTCAAGGTCCAACCGGTCCGTTGAGAGCTGCGCCAGCTCCTCCAACACCTTCGCCCACTCCGGATCCATTTGCAAATGCGAATTCTGATCCATTTAGTGCTCAGCAAACGATGATCGATAACAATAACGTCAATAGCTTCACATCTTCCACCGGTTTCGCTGATTTCGCTAACTTTGATTCCAAGGTATGTACATTCAGTAGCGTTTATCCCTACCAGGGCAGATTTCATATATATTTTTAGTAATATTATTTTCTTTTTTAATGGCATACTGTTTGTGCTAATTGTTTTTACGCACTATTTTGTTTTATAAAGCATCTTTATTTGAACTTAACTAGTTTTATATATTATGTTTAATTATTTAGACAGAACATATTGAAACAATTCGAGCGTTTATAAATCCATAACAATATATTCATCGACCAGTAATGTGACCAGTTTTTTTTTTTTTTTTTTTGTGCAAATCTGTATTTATCAGTGATTCTATCGATAAATGCAGAGTAAATGCAACTTCTTGCTAATTATTATGCAGATAATATATAGTCAAACGTCTTTAAATGTGCAATTTCCGAGTATCGTGAGTAAATGTTCTCGTTGATCGTATCGCATCTATATCGAAAATACTAATTGTATTTAATATTATTTTATTTCATATTTAGGTAGAAGCTGCACATACAATTTTAAGTTTACCTGCCTGCCATTGAGCTGCCTTCTCGGAGAGCATGCTGTCTGCAGATTAATTTCTTTATATTTTTTTCTAGGGTATTTGAATGATTTATTTATATCACTGTTGCATGATTGTATTTTGATCATTATCGTCGATCGCTTGCATTCTAGATCAGTACTAGAATTATTTGTATAAATCAAGCGATTTTCGAGGCCTCCTTGCTTTTCTTTATCGCTCCAGTTCCCTCGATGAGCCACGCAACAGTCGCGGCGCTGTCTCACGATTGTTGACATTACAAAGTCTATAAGGCACTTCTTAATACCTAAAAAGTTTTTAAAAACAACTCTTGAAGAAACAACTTTTTTACATATAATATTTTTATGTGTGTGTGCTAGCAAATATACATTTATATATTATTAAAATTACAACGTAACGATCGATTTTCTATAGGGTATTATTGCAGACGCGTTTTTTTTACGTTATCTCCAATAGATCTATTCAACAGCCTATTAAAAGCGCTTCACAGATTTCGTAATATCAATGATCCTGAGGTCGAGCGCCGCGACTGTAAGTTGTGAAGTTCGCCGAGCAAGCTGGAGCGGTAAAATAAACTAAGGAAGTGTATCTCTCGGAAATCGACTCGTTTATACAGAGTGTCCCATAACAATCTACGAAGCTCTCGTGAGAACGTAGAGCGGGTCGAGGTGAAGACAAAAATCCGATGCCATTTTGCGATATTTGCAATAATAGTCGATATATTGTAGAAGATCAAATGAAAAGGCGGCCGCCTGAGGAAGAGCGCTGAGCCGCGCGAGCTTCAGCGGGGCTCAGTCTATCTAGAGATGGACGCCGACGCACAAGGGGAACAATACGCGCTCTGTCTGCTTGCTTCGCTGCGCCGCGCTAAGTAATGTGTAAGAAATAATATCATTATCTAAATATACTATTCACAGAATCGAATTCTCTTATCGATCGTTTCTTATCGTTTCTTTTTCCACAAATCATGGATTTACTGAAGCCTAGTTAATTATAAAGAATCATTCGTAAATACACGATTGATTCTTTATGTTCTCTTTACATAAGTATCTTGTTAGAGAATTAAGATGCACGAAATACTTAGTCATAATGTGTTACGATCTTTGTAATAATACGACAGAAAAATATTTACTTTTGGTGTAACGATTTCACAATAAATTACGATGCGCTTTCTATCGTAATTATATTTGGGATCAATTCTATCATTTTTTAACGGTTGAATACTCTCTTAACAATCGAATACTCTCCTAAGAGAGAAAGATAAAACTTAGAATTTGATTGTTAGGAGAATATTCAATCGTTGGAAAATGATATAGAATTGATCCCAAGTATAATTACGATAGAAAGCGCGTATTGTAATTTACTGTGAAATCGTTACACCAAGAGTGGATATTTTTCTATCATGTTATTACTAAGATCGTAACAAATTATGTCCTTGTCCATAACCTTGCTTTAATTCTTAAGCCGTAAGAAATTAACTAACCACAGTTGATTATTTTTTAAATAATCGACTGTGATTGGTCAATTTGTTACTGCTTAAAGATTAAAGCAAGGTTGTGGACAAGAGGTATGATTAAGTATTTCGTGCATCTTAATTCTCTAATAAGGTACTTATGCAAAGAGAACATAAAGAATCAATCGTATATTTACGAATGATTTTTTATGATTGACTAGGCTTTAGTTAATTCATGATTTGTGGAAAAAGAAATGATCGATAAAAGGATTTGATTCTGTGAATAGTATATGTAGATAGACAATGATATTATTTCTTTCGGATTCGATATAATAAAATGATACACTATAGTAGAAAACAATTAGATTCTCTGCAGATCCCATTGATTTCTATCACTTTCGTTTATTTTTACCATAGAAACATATTACGGCTTGAATTTTAGCTATTTTTGCTCTTACAAAGTGATCTCGTAATTGTAATCGCGAGTGTGTATATCGCGAACGATCATCGACGCAAGCCTTAGCGCAGTGCGGCGAGACGTAGGTAGACTAGGATTCATAAATGCCTTTACTTCCAATTTCTAGAAAATTGGACTTTTTCGATTTGACACATCGTTTCTCAGTAAGCATGAATCGTGACTGTTAGTTGGTTGTCAGTTCTTTCACTAACAATCATGATTCACGCTTACTGAGAAACGATGCGCCAGATTAAAAAAATCCAATTCTCTAGATACCAAAAATGTAAAGACATTTATGAACCCTAGTACGTGCGTGCGTGCGTGCGTGCGTGCGTGCGTGCGTGCGTGCGTGCGTGCGTAGTGTCGTACAATAAGTTTGTCGGACGTTCTAATTGGCTGGCGAATAGATAATTTCTGGGATATCTGAAGGAAAAATTAGAGATCTTAGAAGAATTTTATCCATCAGCGAATCGATACGTCGGACAATACTTGTCGTACGATGCATATAATATTAGTCGTAGGTGCGGCGATGCAAGCGGACAGCGCGCGTTGGTGTCCATCTCTAGATAGATTGGGCCCTGTTGAAGCTCGCACGACTCAGCGCTCCTTTTCCGGCCGCCTTTGCATTTGATCTTCTATAATTAATATATCAACCATTATTGCGAATATCGTAAAATGGCATGGGATTTTTGTCTTCACCTCAGCCCGCTCTACGTTCTCACGAGAATTTCGTATATTATTCTGGGACACCCGGTATATATAATTTCGAGCGCTGCTCTAGATCGTTTCAAGTCGCATTTCACGGGTAATGATTTAACGGATCATGAGAGAACCGCTTAGAGTCACCGGTGAATGCGACTTGAACGCGATAAAATCATAATAATTTTGCAGTATTGCGATGTAGCGACCAGTAGCGGCTTAAATCCAGCAGCCGCTAAATCCGGACGACAGTCAACGGTATTCGCGTTATTTTGCTTGTACCTTCTTTCAGTAAAACAAAACTGACCAGTGACAAAAACCTGCTTCAGCCGGAACCAATGCCTAATCGAACGGCTCCGCCACCAAGAACGACGAATAGAAGCCACGTAGTACTGACGCAATCAACGAAGCTGTCGGACTTCACAGAGGATCCTTTCCGTGACTACCGTTATGAAGATCCTTTCAACATAACGGACCCGTTTGCCGAAGACGAGACTGAGGACGTGAACGCAAACAAGAGCAGCAGCGGCGTGAACAAAACTGCGGCGGCGGATCCCTTCGGTTTTGAGACAATTTCTGCTTTTTCGAGTAAAAACGCTTCAGCCAAAGCTTTCGATAGCGATTTCTCAAACACCTTTTCACTCGCCAAAGCGAAGATCGAGAAGAATGCTATAACAGCGAATAATAAATTTGACGCTGACTTCGGGAAAGCGTTTGCCACCGATAACAGGAACAGTCGAGTCATCGAGACCGATTTTTCAAATGCGTTCGCTAATGTCAAAGCGAAAACGGTCGATCTTGACGAAGCGTTCTCAGCTAAAGGTGCGAAAATTGTCACGAAGCGCGAGCCAGACGTTATGAAAACTAAAACCGCCTATAACGAGGAGAAGCTTGCGAACGATTTCAACAAAATATGGAATGGTAATAACGTGACCAATTTATCGGAGGAGGAGCAGTTAGCATGGGCGGAGAAACAGAGTTTAAAAACGGAACAAGAAAGGCTCAAGCGTAAAGAAAAGGAGGACGCCGATCTAGCCCTCGCTATTGAACTCAGTAGGCAAGGGAAAACGGGAAATGTTTGAGCATTTCGCTCGATAATGCTATATTTCTTTATGTTAGTATATTACATGTATATCATAATTGTAAATTCTCGTTAAGTTGCATGGCATTTTGCATCTCGTAATACTTGCATCATGTAAACTTACGCTATTACGCATTACGTATAGAAGCGTAAAATATAGAGACAGGTTATCAGATTGACAATAACGTCGAGTACAGATTTTAAGAGTATTCAATGAGAGAAAAAAAGAAATACGCGTTATTACGGATAACGGTGTTTTCTCGGTTGAACATAATTAAGCGTGGTGTCTTTACTAAAATTTCGTATCTGCCGGTGTGTTTTCACGAGTAGTAACTGCAAATAATCGACAAATGTATTTTGCACCTTTAATCAATTTTGTCTTTATTCCATTCAGTTTTTTGTTCTTTTTTATTTTTTATTTTTTTTTTCGATCAAGGCGACGTATCACGATTTGAGTTCGTTTTATGTTTATCTACGAACGTATTCGGTATTCCAGTGTCATACGAATATAAATATACGAACGATAATAAATAGAAATATAATATGAAGACAGAGTTCATGTTGTAACAGTTATTCGATTATTAAAGCACAGTAACACAAGTATCATCATTAAACGCATTGTTATTAATATGTAAACGCTATTATAATAATTGGTAATTATTTACCAAAGATTATACTTCAAGAATTATTTTTATTTTGATTATGTTATATAGATTGAAATCCTAAATCATCTATGTTTTAAATCACATATGGCATATAGTTTCTAAGATATATTAATTTAAAATTCCACAATTTTATATCAAAGATAATAGGAATATGAGCTGCTCTTCGTTACTGTTACTTTAAACATATCTCTCTCTCTCTCATTGTATTCTCCCTTATTTACATATCTTATTTATTACATGTTTACTTAATTTCAAAACAGTTTCAACACTTTATTCTCGATGCAATGAATTGGAATGTGATAACAACAATAAACAACTGAATGAAATTAGCTATAAAATTGCAACATTTTAAAGCGATATATATCATAGAAATTATATGCGAACTCTACGTGATTTAGAACACAGATGACTCAAGATTACACTCTCTAATATATATTTAAATCAAAGTAATCCGTGATACGTAACCTTTGGTAAATAATCATCCAGTAATCGAAAGGATATTATGAGATTTCAATTGATATTTGTCGTTGATCACTCATTCGTCATTCGGCGTATGAAAGCCTAGAATTTCACCAGCTGTTGATAGCTTTGTGTAAATGAGAAGAAAACGAAAAAAAATAAAATGAGCACACACACTCAATACTTACACGCACGCGCGCGTACACATACACACACACACACACATTGTCGGTAAATTTTTCGAAGTGTCGAGGTAATGATATCCGCGATAATGCCGTCTAATTCAGCCTTCGGTCTTAGAACGTTCCAAAGAATATGGTGTTCGGAGACAGCGTATCTCTGTGCTTGGCAAAAGAGTTCTATGCTTCAGTGATAGAACTTGAAAACCAATCACAAGAAATCACGTCTATCTTGACTAATACGTTATAGTATCGTATAATTTCGACAACGACGTTATATTTCATATAATGTATATATATATATTATATACTCTATAAATATTAAATCTCGCGATAATTCTTGTTATTGTAAGTTTCTAATTACCACATCGCAATGTTTAGTTATAAGATAGTTACGCACGCTGTACGAGAATGTGTGCTATCGTAAAGTGTCATTAATAATGTCGGTGCAAAAGGAGACTTGTGTCGTGTATCGATGCGTTTTTGTTTAATTTGACTTGCATTTACTCATACAATTTCGATTCAGATTTTATTTTACCGTCTAAGCGTGTAACGCTTAAAATATGTGTGATTTATGAGCGAATGCGCGCGTATGTATGTATGCATGCATGCATGTATGCGCGTATGTATGTATGTATGTATGTATGTATGTATGTAAATTATAGATATACGTTTAAAGGATTTCACTAAAATAAAATATGGTATTTTAAAAGGATTTCTACCGCGTTTAGTTGACATGCACGACAAACGGTTTCGACCAATGATAAAAAATTTTTTAATATATTTCAGGAAAAATAATTCTATATTAACTAAATTTCCGGATGGTTATTCTTCTCGTTTCTAGTTTTTTATATTCGGTTCTATTTTATTCTTTGCAAATCACGACGAAATACGATGATGTATAACACCGCAAGATATACATATTACACATAATTTATAAGAACTCTGTAATTAAATCTATTGCGTGAAGATGATAAATTATACGTGATACACATAATGCATAATCGCGACTTATTCGTTTAGATCGACTACTATTGTGCACCGACATATGCAAATAATTTGCACATATATCATGTATCGTAAGTAGTAGATTTCGTATGTAAAACAACCCGTGCAAGCGAACAGGACGAGTTGAGGATGCGACGAATATGTGGATTTCAAGATCATCAATAAATAGCAGCGACAAGAGTCGTAGCAATGTCACATAACAGACCCATTGTGTTTCATCATCGAACATGATCGGCCGTATTAATAGCAAGCGATCGTTAATTCAATCTTTTCGCACCGTTAGTGTTCCACTGGTGTTTTTAGCTGTAATTTAATTCGAGGATCGATACCAGTGTAATTTGAGTTGAGTTCGAATAAATGTTGCGCGCGTGTGCATGTGTGTGTATGTAAATGGGTGAGTAAATATATATAGGAGGCGATAATAACGATTCCCGTTTTTATTTCGTGCGACATTTGATATTCTGTTACACGTATTCTACTATAATCAGAAATTGAGTTAAGTGAAAGTATACTGGTCTCAATCCTCGATCTAATATATATAAACATTCTTTCGTATGTTCGATATTACTATTTATATTGTATCCCTGGCTATTTAATACTCAGTTAACCAGTATATACGTAGTTTTAATGTTCTAAGTTCACTCAATGTTCGAAGAGGCAGGATTCGCTTATTTCGGGCTTCTCTGGTATGTAAGATCACCGTCTCATAACCATACACGTCGATAAATCTCGTAAGCCTATGTAACGACACTAAATGCCATATGTGTAACTCGACGACTGAAACAATACCGTGTGTAGCAGTTTAGTTAGCGTTTAAACTGACGGATTGATTACCAAATAAGAGCTAGTAATGCGGCCGAGCAAGTTGTCCTATGACTAGTAGATTCTATATACGCATGTTACTACAGGTTCTTATAGGCGAATTCGTATATAAGTAACCGTTGATTTATTGTTGAATAACCATACTTCTTGTATATATAAGTTTAAATGTATGAATTATCTGTTCACGAAATTATACATTGATCCTTACACGCTGGTTTGAATTAATACGAGAAAATCACAAAAATCCTCATTCCGTTGCGTAGCTCATATTGACTCTTTGTTAGATGTTTTATTGTACTTGTGCCATTAAGAATATTTACACGTAAAAATGAAGAGAAAAAAAAAGTTGAAATAAAATTACATTGTTAGGTCCCACCGAGATTTGAACTCGGATCGCTGGATTCAAAGTCCAGAGTGCTAACCATTACACCATGGGACCGGTTATACCAACCGCTCCTATTAAAGCTATTTCCCGGAGTACTCTGGGTGCGTTCACGAAACTTGCTGTCAACGCTATTTAAGCTGGCCACACACACTTTCCGTAACAGTAACCGTAAGACGTAACGTAAGAATTGACCAATTACGATCGAGTATTTACAAAAATGGCGATCTTACAATTCGACGATTCTCAATATGATTGGTCAATTACGTTACATCTTCCAGTTACTGTTACGGGAAGTGTGTGTGGCCAGCTTTAAGGCGTTTTTTCGTTTTGTGACTACGATACCGTTTGGTTGGTTGGTTTAGTCCGCTTAACGCTCGCAACGCCTCGAGTAACAAAGATAGAATGGCTTGGTTTACATCGTGCACAGGATACGCGTATTAAATAGTAACTTTCTATTGGCTTGGTTTACATCATGCACTTGATACGCGTACTAAATAGTAACTTTTTATTAGATAATCTTAATATCGACGATATATATAAACAACGGTATATTAAGCTGGTATAATACTCGTCAACAAAACATATTGTATTGATTAAATGCGTCGCCGTTTATATGCCGTTTTGTCGATATTAAGATTATCTAATAAAAAGTTACTATTTAGTACGCGCATTAAGTGCACGATGTAAACCAGGCCATTGACTTGGTTAACATCGTATACTATATATAAATACTATACATAAATAATATATATAAATACTATATATAAATAACGGTATATTAAGCTAGTATAATACTCATCAACAAAACATATTGTATTGATAGAATGCGTCGCTGTTGATATGCATTGTCGATATTAAGATTATCTAATAAAAAGTTGCTATTTAGTACACGTATCAAGTGCACGATGTAAACCAGGCCATTGTCAATATTAAGATTATTTAATAGAAAGTTATTATATAGTACGCATATCAAGTGCACGATGTAAACCAAGCCAATAGCCTAGTTTACATCGTGCACTTGATACGCGTACTAAATACCCGATAAAAAATTTTTCATGCAAAATTATATATGAAATTTGTCCATACATAATTATGTATAATTATATATAATTATATAAAATTATACACTATTATATTATATAATTATACACAATTATGTATAACAATATGTATAATTACATATAAATCTATGCGTAATTATGTAAAATTATATATGAATTTATATATATAATTATACATAATTATATATAATTATATATATAAGTAGAATGTATGAACATAAATGGACAAATTTGATATATAATAATATATAATTATGTATAATTATATATAATTTTATATAATTTTATATAATTATATATGAAAAATTTTTCATTGGGTAGTAACTTTCTATTAGATAATCTTAATATCGACAATGCATATCAACAGCGACGCATTCTATCAATACAATACATTTTGTTGATGAGTATTATACTAGCTTAATATACCGTTATTTATATATAGTATTTATATATATTATTTATGTATAGTATTTATATATAGTAT